GGGACAATAGTAGTGTTGAATGGATCTGGAAAACTGTTACAAAGTGACTTGTTGCCAGAAGCAACTGCACCAAGTCCGGTAACCATGAAGGATGCTTCAGTTGGCATAGTGGCAGAACATGGGCTGTACTCCCTGGTTGTGGATGGGCAAAGCTGCATAATGATGTATTGGATCTCCGATGTTAACCAAAACAGGTGGCCAGAGTTTATATAGTTGAAATCTTGGTTAAAACTCCAGTGGAATGGCATTTGTCTCAACTAAGAACCAATTAAAAGTGCTTGCCTGTGGGATAAAGGGCTGTTAGCCATTTGCTAAAAAGATTAGTCAGCTCCTTTAATGATAGTATGACTGCAAATAGGTGGGGGTAGATGCTGGGAAAATTTAACCCCAAAAGGATCAAGATTTGATCTGGAAGGGCAGGATGGAATCTCAGGAGATTGTATGGAAATTTGTCAAGCCTAGTTTGCATGTGTAAGTGTACAATTAAGTGGAATAGCACCACCTACTGGCACTTGAAGACTTGTATAACTTAAAAGCAAGAAGGAGCAAATTGTGGAGCTGGGGATGGAATCTAGGGCCTAAGGTGACAAGCCCTCTACCAAGTGAAATACAAAAGGGGCAGTAAAGTTTGAAGATTAAAAGCTAGTGCTTATTTTTAAGTAGGCTAGCTGATTACATGCATGTGTATAGTGTGGACTTGGGGTTTTTCCATAGGATTCTGGTTAAGTTTCTAGCACCCATTCACAACAGCTCTGGGGATCTAATGTGTACCAGATACGCATGTGTACACAAACCTAGGCAAAATGAGGGGAAGGCATTCTAGTTGAGGTTTTAAACATTTTGGGTATACCTTTAGTAACTGGGAACCAATCAAACCACAAGGCCTGCACATAAATAAAAGGCTCTTGCTATTGGTGATAGGACTTAAAGTCATCTGGCTCATTCTCAGTGGGTTGCAGGTTGGCCTGGATATAATGAGTTAGAGTCCAGCATCCAATTAAAATATAGTGAAATAAGTTGTGCTGGGCTACATGGAAGTTTACTTTGGTGCCATAAAAGCAATGGGTAAGAACTTAGGGTTGGCAAGTAAAATAACCTAGGTAACATGACAGGGTCTCTAATAGCCCTGGCTGTTCTGGGCTGTAGATCAGGCTGGCCACAAAATAGTTGCCTGCCTCTGCTTCCGGAATGCTGGGATTAAAGGCATACACCCATATTCAGCTTTTCCCTTCTTGAGACAAGTGTTTATTTAAGGTTCATACTTGTTTGCATAGTGTGTTTCTACTATATTTTGCCTTCATGTATGTCTGTCTATGCATGCTGGGTACCTATGGAGGCCAAGAGGGCACCAGAGCCCCTGGATTACAGTTGGGCGTTAGCAGCCATGCGGGTCGCTGGGAATTGAACCCATGTTCCCTCAAGGAAAAGCAAATACTTAACTACAGAGCTCTCCTGGCACCTCCACCCTCTACTTGTAAGCACATGTTGCTGCATGGCTCTGCCTTTGGAACTTCGTAGGTACTAGGTAGCCCAGGTTGACCTTTAACTTGAAGCTTGTCTGTCCCAGTGCTGGGACTATCGGTGAGCCGGGCTTTGTTTCGCTATGACTCCGTACTTGCCTCCAATATGAGGCAGTCCTCCCACCTCTGCCTCACAAGTTGGAATCCCAGGTGTGCACTACACTTGAAATGTGCAATGCTGTCTGTCACCTACCATGCCCAGGTTGCTCTGTAGTCTCTGTATGTATACACATGGTATTGAATAAAATAAAAGCTACCTTTTGAAGGTAGGGGGCGGAAAGAAAGCTCGGCAGTTAAGAGTGCTGGCTGCTCTTCCAGAGGACCCAGGTTCAATTTCCACCTTCCACATGGCAGCTCACAACTCCAGTTTCAGAGGATCTGGTATACTCACACAGGTATGAGGTTTTACCTGTCTTGACCTGATCTGGAAACACTAAAATTAAATGGGACATAACTACGAAAACTGAACTATACCCAAATGGTCAGATGAAATTACATCAAAATATTTAGTTGCCTCCCCCATAATCAGACCTTAAATCTAAGGCCAAAATGACTAGAACCCTTGGGATACCATGTTCTAGCTGAAGCCTGAGCCTGAAGCCTAGGGCCTCTCCCTAGGCAAGCTAACTGGCTGGCTGGCAATAAAGAGACAAGCAGGATCATCTGGCTATATTCATGCCCTAGTCTACCCATAACGGCTAGCCACACTCATCACACCAGTACAAAAAGAAATACAGCATTACTAAATGCAAATTCATCAATTACTATGGATGGATTGGTTTAATGTTAAATCGTGCCCAGGTCATGATACATTTGTATCAGCAAACTTTTATTATTAACCAGCTTAGAAAATAAGTTTGTTTTATAGTACTTTCATCAATGTTCAAAATTAATGACTACTGAAAATTTCTAAAGTACTGATTATCTAAGGTTTAAATGTCCTAAGTCAGCTTTTTGGAGACAGGTTTTCTCTGTGTAGCCTTGGCTGTCCTAGACTTGCTTTGTAGACCAAGCTGGCCAATAATTCACAGAGCTCTGCCTGCCTCTTCCTCCCAGAGTGCTAGGATTACAGGCATGTACCACCATGCCTGGCTCTAAGTCAGCTTTTAACCTAAAAATTCCAAAATTAGAAAATGCTTGGGCTACACATATACCCCCCCCCCCCCCCACACACCCCAGGCTAGCTTCAAATTTAAGATGACTGAACTTCTGATCTTTTTGCCTCTACTTAAAAAAAAAAAATAACTTATGTGCACTGGTGTTTAGCTGTATGTATGTCTGTGTGAGGGGTACCAGATCTTAAAGTTGTGAGCTGCCATGTGGGAATTTAACTGGGGTCCTCTGAAGAGCAGCCAGTGTTCTTAACCGCTGAGCCATCTCCAGGGACCCTGCCTCCACTTTCAAGTGTTAGAATTTTTCTAAAAAAAGTTTGTGTAGGTGTTTTGCCTACACATATTTCTGTGCACTGCATGCCACAAGAGGATGGATTCCCCCAGGAACCAGATTACAGACTGTTAATGAGCCATCATGTGGGTGCTGAATCTCACCTTATCCTCTGAAAAAGCAACCATTGATCTTAACTGCGGAGCCGTTTGATCAGCCCTGACCCACCTAGTGTTAGGATTATATGTGTAATAGTGTTAAGAGCATACCAGCTAAAGAGTGTTCTCAAGAGAGAAAAGACAAGCTAGCCTAGTGAATCTAAGTGGTTTTGTACAACCTTCACTTTCATCCAAACTTAAGACTGCTTCCTAACCTATAACCACACAGGTGTGCTAAAAGGTTAAGCCTGTGAGTAGCATATCTACAAACTGATTTACTTCTCAAGTTTTCCCCCATTTTCAGTTTTAAAACACCACAGGATAGCAGTAACCTGCACAGTGTGGAGGATGGACTGCACGTGAACCCATTTGTCTTCATACTTACAGACAGGCCTTCACTGGGGCCTTATACCCTCAGCATGCCCATCCACTGCACTGTTAACTTGTGTCTTAATGTCCTTAGTTCTTAAAGCTTTAATGGCCTCTGCACCCTTGTACTTCCTGACAAAATAACACGCTTATCAGGCATTTGGAGTTCAACCTCCTTGATATTTACCTTTAAAATTGGGTTTCATTTCTTTTTTGGTTTTTCAAGTTTCTCTGTGTAGCCCTGGCTGTACTGGAACTCGCTCTGTACACCAGGCTGGCCTCAGCTCAAGAGATCCTCCTGCCTCTGCCTCCCAAGTGCTGGGATTAAAGGTGTGTGCCACCACTGCCTGGCTTATTTTTTTTTTTTAATTTAATTTATTATGTATACAATGTTCTACCTGCTTGTATGCTTACATACCAGAAGAGGGCATTAGATCTTATTATATATGGTTATGTTGGGAATTGAACCCAGGACAGTGCTCTTAACCCCTGAGCTATCTCTCCAGCCCATAACTGGGTTTCTCTTATTTATTTTAATTTTATGGCATGTACATTAGTGTAAAGGTATCATGTCCCTTAGAATTGGGTTACAGACGGTTGTGAGCTGCCATGTGGGTGCTGGGAATTGAAACCCATGTCTTTGGGAGAGCAGAAAGTGCTCTTAACTGCTGAGCCATCTCTCCAGCCCATAATTGGTTTCTTGATGCCGTTTCAGGACTGGTTTTATATGTAGTGGTTCTTAGACTTGGCAACATCAACACTAACTAGTGGTTCCTGAAGAGCCTAGGACTGGAAAAGAGCAAGCTCCTCCTCAAGATTTTACCTGGGGAGGGGCACAAAGGAGCTCTTGGTACTAGTGGAGGCCAGAAGACGGCATCTGACCCCTTGAACTGGAATTATGGCCATCAGCCTGATGTGGGTGCTAGGGGTCAAATCAGGTCCTCTGCAAATGAAGCAAACCTCTGGGCCACCTTTCCAGCCCGAGTATTTTTGCTTCTAAAGCTCAAGGACAATGTTACTAGAGTTTAAGAGAAAAACAACAGGTCAGGAACAATCTCTGCAGCTGCCAGGAAGAGGGAGCTGGAGAAGAGCAAGAAATACCATTTAGTTAAAGTAGGCAGGCACTTCAGAGAATGAGTGAAAAGGCCCAGAATGTCAGGGAAGCATGGCCATACTTTGAACAATGTCTGGAAGAAGGAGAAGGAAAGCTCTTCTGAGTAACTGACAAAAGTGGGAAGGCCAAGGAGCACAGGCTCTCTCAGCAGCTGTCCTTGTTTCAATGAGACCAGGTCTCACAGTGTAGTCAGGTTAATCTTCAACTCTGATCCTCCTGCTTCGGCCTCTTAAGCAATGGGATTAAAAGGCTATACCACTGCACTCAGTTTCAGGTTTAGTTTTGGCTTAACTAAACCTGTGATGAATGCTTTATGACCTACAGAAATAGGCTCACTGTATAAAGCCCCAGACAGAACTACACACTGTTATGAACTGTTTTGCCCACAAACATTACAAAAGCACAACTTGCAACCTTTATCGGTCTTACAAGGACAAACCTAAAATAATCTAACACTATTTTCACAGGTGTTATATTTATTTTCTATTTATAAGCTCTAATTCAGCAGTTCTCTACCTGTGGGTTGTGACACCCACGGGGGTCACATATCAGATATACTGCATATCAGATATTTACATTAACAGTAGTAAAACTATGGTTATGAAGTAGCAACAAAATAATTTTGTGGTTGGGGGTCATCATAACATGAACTGTGTTAAGGGGTCACAGCATTAGGAAGGCTGAGAACCACTGCTCCAAGCCCTCTTCCTACAAGGCCTGCCTCTATGAAATGAAAGTAAACAACTCTGTCTCAAAGTCTTTGTATCACATGCATGGATTGGTTTGGTGCTCCATCACTGCTGCCTGTCTTTGCCGAGTACTCTTCACAAATCTGAGCAGATTGATGATGGCAGCTGGTGTCACTCCAGGTATACGACTAGCAGCTCCAATCTGGGAATTAAAATGACAAAAAAACCAAAGTGAGCTATGTCAAATCCAATCTACTCTCCTCACAGCCTCTTTATAGGACCGATTATGAGTTGGGATCAGGCTATATTGACCAAATTTGTTTTGAACTCTTGGGCTAAGGAGATCCTCCTTCACTTCAGTCTCCCAAGTAGACAGCTAGGACTACATGTAGGTGATATCACATCTAGCTATAAAATTTACTTGAGGGCTGGAGAAATGGCTCAGTACTTAAGAGGACCTAGTTCAGCTCCCAGCATCCACATGGCAGCCCACAAGCATCTGTAACTCCAGTTCAGGGGATCCAATGCCCTCTTCTGTCTTCCATTAGGTATGCATGTGGCACACATACATACATGCAGATAAAACATACCCATAATAATTAAAAAAAGGAAAAGAAATTTCAGCCAGGTGTGGCATACACCTTTAATCCCAGTACTCAGGGAGGCAGAGGGAGACAGGCCTATGAGTTCCAGGCCAGCCTAATCTACAAAGCAAGTCCTGGACAGCCAAGCTACACACAGAAACTGTTTTAAAAAACCAAAAAAGAAGAAAAGAAAGATCTTTTAGATTTATTTAAATATACCAAGTACATGTAGTGCTCTCAGTGGTCCGGAGACATTAAATTCCCTAAAACTAGGGTATTGGATGGCTGTGAGGCCCTCTGTGGGTAGCTGGGAACCAAACCCAGGTCTTTTGCTAAAGCAGCAAGTGCTCTTAACTGAAGTCAGCTCTTACTCTTAAGTAAGCTCAGGATTAAAAACTAAAGCACAAGGCCGTTTGGCTTTGCTTTTAACTTGCTTCTATGCACTGTTTGCTTACCGTCTGTGGACGACTCAAGTGCAGCTTCTCTCGAACTTCTTGGGACAATGATACATCCTTGATTGTTAGATAATCTAGATCTTGTGGCAGCTGCAAAGCTTCATCTCGCTGAACCTCCTTTATTTCTTGTAGTTGATACAACAATACTGACTCATAAATGGCTGGTGAATAAAATCAGAATTATATTATGATACATACAGTACACTAACCTGTGTTTGTATAACCCTTTGCTATTTACAAATAGCTTTTACATGCATCAGCTCATTCAACAGGGCACTCTGCGACACGTGCGCAGATAGTCTTTGCTCTGTTTTTTTGAGACAGAATCTCATATAGCCAGGCTAGCCTCAAACTTGCTACATAAGGAGGATGACCTTGAACTCCTGGTTGGGGTTCTTTTTTGAGGAGAGGAAACAAGACTATCATGCAGATGAACTCTTATATAGCCAAGAATGACCTTAAACTCCTGATTGTCATCCAGCTCCACTGCCAAAGTGCTAGTACTACAAGCATCTGCCACCATGCCCAGCTGACTCTAGTCAGTACAAATCTTATTAGTAACATTAAATGTTAAGTCCTAAAGATGGGCTGTTTCCCAAGAAAATGGTTCTCGAAGTCATTTTTCCGTGAAGCTGTATGTGCATGTGTGTCTTAAGGTGGTCCCAGGGACTAATCCCACAGCCTATACATGACAGACAAGCAGCTCTACTACTCAGTTATGGCTCCAGCCCTAAAGCAATCATTTTTAGAAGTGGGGCTTCTTAGTTGGCAATCATAACTTATGCAATTTAGTTAAGGTTTTTATTAATAAGTAATGTTACGAAGACAGCTTGGCAATTCTTTTGTCAAACATTCCATTCTTAGAGAACTAAAGTCAAAATATTAAAAAACAACAACAACAACAACAACAACAACAACAACAACAACAAACTTGTTTAGTGGTACTGGTCATTAAGTCCAGGGCAGTCAGGACTCCACGAATGCTAGGCAAGAAGACAATGGTACTCTACCATTACTAGTGTGTCCCCAGCTCTAATACACTTTTCAGACATTGTCTCACTGGGTTGCCCAGGTAGACCTGTTATAATGCCTCTGCCTGAGCTTCCCAAACTGGGACAACAGGCCTGTAAGAACACGCCTAGCAAAACCACCTTAAAATATAGACTGAGGGGCTGGAGAGATGACTCAGGTTTAAGAGTTCATACTGCTCTTGCAGAGGGACTTAGCACCCGTGACAGACAGCTTACAACCACCCCTTAAATCCAGTTCCATGGGATCCAATTCCCTCTTCTGTTTCCTTAGGCACCTGTACTCAAGTGGACACTCTCTATACTACCTCCACCATAGTTAAAACAAAACAAAAACTCTTAAAAATCTAAATTGAGGCAGTCCTTCCATCTCACTCAAAGGATAGTCTTTTGTTGTTGTTGTTCTTTTCTCTCTTTCCTTCTTTTTGAGACAGGGTTTCTCTGTATAGTCCTGGCTGTCCTGAAACTCATTCTGTAGACCAGGTTAGTCTCAAACTCCCAAGAGCTCCACCTGCCTCTGCCTCCCAAGCCTTGGGATTAAAAGGCGCATACCAACACACCCGGTTAAAAGCAAAGTCTTGTTTTTAAGCTGGGGTCATGCAGTCCAGCCTCCCAAGTGTGGGTTACATGGGATGCCTCACTACACCTGCCACAGTTTGATGACTCATAAATAGCTCTCAAGGCATAATGGAAGGTGACGGCTAATACTGATTACTGATTTGACAAGATTTAAAGGTGCCGTAGAAACTTGAGTATGCCCATCAGGATGTTTCCAAAAAGGTTTCACTGAAGGCAGGCTCACCTGAGTGCAGCAGCGCCATCCCACAGGCTGAGGCCCAGACTTAACAGAAAGGACAGAGGAAACTGAATGTGCATCTCTGCTTCCTGAATATGGATGAACTATGACTGAAAGCATTGTTTTCAGCAAACCACAGGCAAGCTGCTCTCACTAACCATACCTCTCCCGTGAGGATGGACTGTGCCTCAAGCCCTGAGCCAGAGACACACTCATGCCAGTGAAGGACCCTCCAGGTGGTCCTCTGGCCTTTGGTCCCCTTCCTTCTCTGAGTGCATTCTTGCCAGGTACTTTGTCACAGCAGTGAGAAGGTAACCATGTTGATACACAGGATCACTGAGACCCTGCATATGGCCATATTTATTTAATCTTTCAAATACAAATTGCAAAACAAGAAAGACAATAGAATGTGACATTGACTTCTACCCTCAAGAATCTTGTCCAGGGGCTGGCATGCAGCTCAGTTGGTGGCAGGCTTATCTGGCATGCTCGTGGCCCCATCAAGCTGACAGTTTATTATTGTTTTTTTTCTGACAGTTGATATTAACTATCACATTCTACCACTTAGAAAAACAGGTGTGGAAGCATACACCTGCAATGCAAGCACCTCAGAGGAAAAGGTAGGAGGGTCTAAAAGTTCAAGCTCATCCTCACCTGCTTAGGAGTTTGGGGCTGGCCTGGGCTACAAGAGACTATTTCTCAAAAAACAAAACAAAACATAGCAACAATAAAAAAAGCCTTCCCAAATCCCCCACCAACGAACCAACCAAAAAACAAAACAAAAAACCCAAAACAAAACCCAACCCAACCCAACCAACCAACCAAGAGCCACTGGAGAGTGGTTGAGAACACTTGCTGCTCTTGTAGAGAAGCTGTATTTGTTTTCACCCGTATCATGCAGCTTGCAGCTGAAGTCTGTAAGTCCAGCTCTAAGGGATCTGATACCCTCTTCTACCCTCCATGAGCACCTGCATACATGTGCACACACATGCAGAGGCAGACACATAAATGTAAATAAAAAAGAAAAAAAAGAAAGTTGTCAGGTTGGGGAGATTCTAGTAGCGACCTGAAAATCACCCATATACGTTGTACTTTAACCTAATGTGTTTTTTTTTAAACTTCAAGTGGTAGCTAGAATATTTATGACACTAGCTTTAAAGAGTGAACAGCAGCTACTCCGTGGCCGAATTATTTCCTGCAAACAGATTAATGATAAATGCTTCTGAACTGTGCTAACTGGAACCTAATATTTGCTGAACAAAGTAAAGCTGTACACAAAGTTTAAAGTATGTAATCTAAGCAGCTGTTTCCAGGGCTACACCCTCATATCTAAAGTCTTCAGGAGAGAACTCATATGGTAAAATAAAGTCTTGCAGGTTCTTCTGGCATGTTGTCACTGGCTGACTTAAGTTTTGTTTTTTAAGATTTTATGAGTTATTTTTAATTGTGCGTGTGTGTGTGTGTGTGTGTGTGTGTGTGTGTGTGTTATATGTGACTGAGTGCCGATACCCATGGAGGCCAGAGGACTTGGATCCCCTAAAGCTGCAGTTACTGGGAACTGAACTCCAATCCTCTGGAAGAGCAACACACACTTTAAACTGGTGGATCTCTGTGCAATTGAAAGGGAATACCAACCCTGGACAAAATGCACCCTGGCTGCTCCCGAAAAAGCTCAAAGTGTTTTCTTGCATAAACAGCATACTAGCATCCAATGTTTCCTACTGCACTCTTTTCACTGCTTAGCTTTCAACAAGAGGACAAATCTATAAAAATGCAAAGTTGGGCTGCAGAGATGGCTCAACAGTTAACAACATTGATTGTTCTTCTAGAGGACCTGGGTTCAATTCCTAACACCTACATGGCAGTTCACAACTGTCTGTAACTCCTGTTCTGTGGGATCTGATACCCTCACAGAGACAAACAGTCAAAACACAACTGCACATAAAATAAAATAAATTTAAGCCAATATTTTCCTTAGGCATGCATCACTATGCTCAAACATACTGCTCTTGAGGGATCTACTACTTATTCATAATCTGCACATGTGGAAAAGAGAATACAGGCACCTAAGGAAAACAACTTCTCTTTTACCTTCTATTTTCAGTCTTCTAGCCAGCTCTTTATATGCAGCATACTTCTTCAACGGCTCAGGAACAGCACCTGCTAGTAACTCCAGGTCAACTTCTTCATACTTAAGAACATTCAGAGCACTGCCAACATAAAATGGTTTATCAACATAAAAATCATGTCCTGTAAGGCAAACTAAGAATAAAATTCTTTGGGATAATACTAAGTATTAGAGTAATTAAAGAGACTCTTAATTACTTTTCCCCCAAGTATAGTGAGCAAAGTAGTAGCATCTGGCCAAGTGTGGTGGGACAGATCTTTAATGCTAACACTTAGGAGGTAGAGGCAGAGGGATCTCTGTGAGCTCAAGGCCAGCCTGGTCTATATAACCAGCCAGAGCTACATAGAGTCCCTGCCTAAAAAAAAAAAAAAGAGTAGCATCTGCAAAGTAGGTCATCCAAAAATGAATAGACAGTTCTCTGGGCCTGGTGGTGCAAGCCTATATCCCAGCACCCGAGAGGCAGAGGTGGGAGCACCGGGAGCACAAGCCCAGCCTTTGTTACACAGCATGTTTGAGGCCAGCCTAGGTTACAAGAAATCCTGGCTCAAAAACCCCTATCCACAAGTACTCATCTCCTGATTCCTTATGATCAGTTAGGTTGTTAAGGTTTTATGAGGCGGTTGTCATCCACTGTCCTCCTTTTTGTTTAACTGAACATCCTCTGCTAACAAGGGCTTCGCCACCTTTCGTAAGTCCTGGCTAATGTCCTATGAATGAGGCATCTTTTTGCATGCTTTGGTTCAGATCATCTGTGTTCCTCAAAGGCTCATGCTCTGGAAGTGTGCTCTCTCGTGTCATACAGTCACTGTCACAGCTGCGCCCTTTAAGAGGAAGGACTGTGAGGAGCAGTAACCAGTCTCTGTACTTCAGAAGAGGTGAGCACTGTTGTTATGAAGTTGAGCTCACGCTAGGGAGTTCTACGAAGACACCTAGATTTCTGGCTTCCTGTCCCTCTATATGGCACATGCTCTTAACAGGACAGACAGATCCCTAGACCCATGTGGAAACTTTAAAATGTGCTCCTGCCCCTGTGAAGTGAGCAGTCATAATACCCTCAGCACAGGTCAGAGAGGGTGTTGCTTGACCTTTGAAGTTTCAACCTCCAAATTTGTAACCAGTTAAGCCTTCTTTCCAAAAAATAAAATATGCAGCCTCAGTTATTTTATCATAACATAAAACTGATTAATAGAGCTAGTAAACAAATATACTGACTGCAACGGTGAAAATGTTGGTGCCCCCAAATATGTATGTTATGTTCTAAAAACCAAAGTACTATTAATAATGGTTAGTATCCTTCTAAAAGAGGCTCCCAGAAGCCTGTTTGTGCCTTCTGCCATGAAAGGATATAGGCAAAGGACCAAGAACATAAACTAATTGTCAGCCATGGAACAAGGTCAGACCACCCCAACCCCAAAACAAAACTAAATACAATACAACAAAAACCAGGAACACCATAAAACCAGGAACACCATAACATCCATAAGAGCCATCATAGACAAGAGGTCTCACAAGAGGGAGACTATCACTGCCATCCCAATATGCAAAATGTACCCCTTCAAGTACAGAGAACTATTGACTTGTGTCCTGCTGGCTCCCTCTCCTATCTTTTTTTTTTTAAAGATTTATTTATTATTTATTATATATACAGTGTTCTACCTGCATGTACACCTGCATGCCAGAAAAGGGCATCAGATCCCATTATAGATGGTTGGGAGCCACCATGTGGTTGCTGGGAATTGAATTCAGGACCTTTGGAAGAGCAGCCAGTGCTCTTAACCTCTGAGCCATCTCTCCAGCCCTCCCTCTCCGTTTTAAATCACATTTTTTTTTTCAAATGGGGGAAAAACAATGGTGAAACACATACATTTTATATTACCAAGGTCCTCAGAACTCATATTTGTCCCAGCACTTGGGAGGTGGTGTAGGCTTATCCTAAGCTACCTCAGCTATTAAGCAAGGTTAAGGGTGGCTTAGACTACATGAAACACATACACAGACACAAATACAGACATACACACACAGGCAAGCAGATAGACACACACCCCACCCACCTTGTTCCCAGAACAAAAGTACTATCTATGAATGAATGTCCTTTAGACTCAGAGGCCATATAACTAAACTGAGGGAAACAAAATCTCAAATGTGACATGATTCTTCAAAAAATTTGTAATAAATACAAATAAGAATTTAGAATATACAGCACTAGGAAAAAAGAATTGTAATACTATGTTTTCTTAATTAAGGGGTTTTCCTTGCTGTAGTGCACGTATTAGCTGGGACCACTCTAATTTTTGAGCCTAAGCAAAGAAAATGGGTCCTTATAGTTTTTTGGTTTGGAGACTCTAAATCTGAGGAAAACCAAAAGGACTCAAGGAGAACCATAAAGAAATTGTACATGTACAAGAAATTGGATTGGAGAGATGGCTCAGTGGTTAAGAACACTGGCTGCTATTCCAGAGGACCCAGGTTTGAGTCCCAGTACCCACAGGGCAGCTCATAACCATCTGTAACTCTAGTTCCATGGGATCTGACACCCTCTTAAGGTTCCCTGGGTACCAGGCAAGCACATGGTACGCATACATATATGTAGACAACACTGACACACACACAGACACAAATAATAATTTATAATCACACATAAATATATTTATTAAGACTTTTTTTGGGGTGGGGGCTAGGTATGGTGGTACATGCTGCTAGCCAGCACTTGGGAGGTAGAGACCCTGGGGATTGAATCTAAGGCCTCATTCATGCCAAACACGCACTCTACCATCAAGCTACATGCCCAGCCACATACATTTTACTTTTTCTTTTAAAATTTATTTTTCAAATCTGGGTTATACAGAGTCCAGTTTGGACTCCACCTTGTTATATAGCAGAGACTGACCTGAAAGTCCTTCTCCTTGTAACTGCACAGATTAATGTCATTTATGACTCGGACTCATATACTTGAGCAAGCTGTATTCAGTTAAAATGTGTATGCAGGGGTCTTACACATGATGTCTCTCTGCAACCTCATTTTTCTGTAAACACTGAGAAGTTTGCATTGAAAACCATACCTGACAGGAAGGCTTCTAGTAATACTTATAGGAGCTTGTGGAAGTAACTTTTTCCACTTGGAGCTTGAAAACTCAATGGATTTCAACACAGAAATACCTTCTTCTAAAGAAGACTTCATCCACGAAGCTCTTTCATAGCGCTGTGGGGACACACAACCAGTGTCCTTATGGGCTAGGAAATGAAGAGGGAGAATTAGAGAAGTTTTAAAGAACAACAGAGTGCAGAGTGTGGCAGCATACACCTGAAACAGGAGCACTTGGAGAAAAGGAGGGAAGATGTAGTAAATTCAAGGCTGGCCAGCCTATGCATGAACCGTGTCTCAATAGCGTCCTCTAACTCTCCCTTCCCAAGGCAGAAAGTAGCCACCTAAATCCTGTGAGGTCAAGAAGAACAGAAATCCAAAGTCACCTTAGCTATACCATAAGACATCCTGCCTTAAAGCAACTACACAAACTAGCAAAAGCCCAAAACAATAAAATATATCACAAGACTTGGTTAAAAGTTACCTCGAAATGTGAGCCGGATGTCAGCATTGTCTGGACGCAGTGACAAGCGGAACTCTACTCTGCTAGTGAACATTCGGTATGGTTCGATGGTGCCCAGTGTGGTGAGGTCATCAATCAAGACGCCTATGTAGCCTTCTGTGCGACTTACAACAAAGGGTGGTTTTTGCCGGACTCGAAGACTGGCATTGATTCCAGCTATCACGCCCTATAAGAAGACTGAAATGTTTAACAGGCCATTATGAACTGAACAAAGGGCTATCCTACTCAGCACGGTATCTGGAAAAAAACACACAGGGTAGGGAGAGGCGGGGTGTTGGTGAAGATGGTGGTGTTATATACCATTAATCCCAGCATTCGGGAGGCTGAGGCAGGTGGATCTTTGTGAGGCCAGCCATCTACAGAGTGAGTTCAAGGACAGCCAAGACTACACAGTAAAACCCTGTCTCAAAAAAAAAGAGAGAGAGAGAGAGAAAAAAAAAAAGGAAAACCAACCAACCGAAAACCAAACTCACAGGTAGGAAGAAAGCAGGCGTATAAGAAATCTAAGAGGTAATTGCGATCCGCATACAGAAACAGAACATGTTAGCAAGCCAGGGTTCATTCAGCAGTGGACGGGGGTGTGGGGTGTTAATCTCTGTAAACCTACTTGTCAGACTTCTCTGGTTTTTTTTTTTTTGTAGGAAAACAAACAAATGATATAATTTACCACCGTGTGGTGGGGTCCCCAGAGGCTCATATATTTGAATGCTTAGTCATTAGGGAGTGGCACTACATGTGTCCATGGCTTTGAGGTTTTAAAAGCCCAAGCCAGGCCCAGTCTCTGTGTCTCTTCCTGCTGCCTATGGATCCATATGTAGAGCTCTCAGCTCCCTCTCCAGCACTGTTCTGTCATGCTCCACCATAATGATAATAGACTAAACCTCTGAACCTGTAAGCAAGCTCCAATTAAATGTTTGCTTTTATAAGAGTTGTCATGGTCATGGTGTCTCCTTATAGCAACAGAACAGTGATCAAGACAGTTGTAGTAAATAATATTATAGGAGGTCAGGAAGATTTCATAAAATGCCTGCCTCAAAAGCATAAGGACCTAAATTTGACCCCTAACACCCTTGTGAAAAAGCTGAGCACAGTGGTACAGCCCTGTTCTTTCAGTCACTGAAACTCACTGGTTAGTCAGTCAGTTTAGCCTAATGGGTAAGCTCCAATGAGAGATTCTGTCTTAAAACAATAAGGTGGAGGGGTTGGGGAGCTGGTTCAAGAGGTTAAGAGTGTGTACTGCTCTTATCGAGGACCCAAGTTTGGTTTGCTGCACCCATGCTGGGCAGCAGAGAACCTTTGACTCCAGCTCCAAAAGAGGGCAAAAGGGCAAGAGAGTTACAAAGTGGAAGGATGATCCTTTTAAAGAGCAACTTAACCACGCCTGCCAGGTGTGGTCACCTGGCAGGTGACACATGATGACATCATAGGTTGCTAGGCAACCCAGAAGCAGGTTGCCTAAATTCTAACACAGGGAATCCTGCTTCTGGCACCTACATTCATGTGTCCCGCCCCCCCCCCCCCCATACATAATTAAAATAAAATAAAGGCAGCTAGAGAAATGGCTAGCAGTGAAGAGTACTGGCTGCTCTTCAAGAGGCCTGGATTTGATCTCCAGCACATAGTGGCTCACAACCATCTGTATTTCTAGTTCCAGGGTATATCTAATGCCCTGTTCTGGTCTCCACAGGCACCAGGCACACACACGATACAGACATACACACAGACACAACACCATGCACATAAAATTAAAAAAATAAAATAAGTTGAAGAACAATTGAGAAAGATATTTAATGCTTATCTCTGATCTCAGCATGAACATGCACACATGTACAAGACAGAAAGTCAAAATAGTAATAACAACATGATAATTTTCAGAAATCATAGAAGAATGAAATGCACTTTTTTTTTTTTTTTTACACTTTAGAAGCAATTCCATACTTTTTTTTCAAATATGCTAGCAGATCGAGGGACTCAGATGCTACCTGTTAAGTGCTTTCAAAATCATTTCCCACAGCTGGGCAACATGGCACATGTCTGTAATACCAGCACCAGGGAGGTGAAGCACAGACCAGCTGTTTGAGCTGAGGATGGTGGTGCATGTTTGTGGTCTCAGCACTTGGAAGGTGAAGGTGGGATTGGATTTTCAAGGTCAGCCTTGGCTATATAAGTAAGTATGGGGCCAGTCTTGACTACTGGAGTCCCTGTCTGAAAACAAAACAAAACAAAACAAAACAAAAACAAAAAACCAACCCAAACCAAAATATAATCAGTCTGGACCACACGGCAAGACCCTATTTCAAAACAAAACTAGTGTATTACATACATTCATTACCTCCATTTAGCCTAAAATACTGTGGTTTTGGTTTCCAGTAGCATCTGAATAGAGTCTTACCTGGAGCTGGGCATGATGGCACACGCCTTTAATCCCAGCGCTTGGGAAGCAGAGGCAGATGGATGCTGAGTTTCAAGCCAGCCTATTCTACATGGTGAGCTCTACAGCCAAGATTACACAGACAGACCCTACATAAGCAAAACAAAGCAAACCTTACCTGAGCTGCAGCTTCCTCATAACCAGTTGTTCCATTTATCTGTCCAGCAAAGAACAGCCGTTGAACCAAATGTGTCTCGAGGGAAGGACTGATCTGACGGGGATCTAAATAATCATACTGAACACCATAGCCTGAGCAAAGAAAAAGTGCACAAGGTAGTGAAAACAGCTACACCCACCTCAAGGCGGAAATACAAAGCACATCAGGCTACGTTAGGTGGGCTTCATCTATTAATATATTCTGACACAGGGTCTTGCTCTGTAGCCACATGCTGTCTTACAGACAGATTCCCATTTTAGCTCCCCAAGTGCTAGGATTACATACGTGTGCCCTCATGTCTAGGATTACATATGTGTGCCCTCATGTCTAGCTTGGGCTATTTTATGGCGAGTGGAAGTAGCTAAGACCATTTCACTGCTACAATGAAGACCACCCAAGACCCTCTTTACCTGGATGAACCATCTTGGCTTTCTCCAAGCCCCTGATACATGTTATCATTTTCTCTTGTAACTCAGCTGGCAGTGTAACAGATAACCCTTGGGGGTAGATGAGGTCAGAATCCATTCCTTCAGGTTCCAACCAAACCTGATGCAGGCGGTTTGGAAAACGTAAGACTTTTGATTCAATGGAGGGACAGTATCTAGAATAAGACATTGAAGTTTAAAGTAAATTTGATAACAGAAAAAGTTTGCCTTACTCCTTAAAGTGATTAAGGTCTCATTTCTGTCCTTACCGGGGCCCTCTTGTAGTTTCCCTAACATGGCTATTCAGGTGGAGGTTCTCAAGGACAATCTCATCCACTCTGGGGTTGGTGTGAGTCAAGTAACATGGCAGTTGATCTTCCGGCTAGAAAACAGTAACCAGATACAATGCAGATTTCACCTGCTTGTCTGTTTGAGACAGGATCTCTAGTAGCCTAGACTGGCCTTGAACTCTCTAGACTATCCTTGAACTTTGGGAGTAGGAGGGAGAGAAATCAAGGGGGTAGGGAGAGAAAACATGCATACATACATACATACAAAGATAAATAATTATGTTTAAAGAAATTAGGAAAAAATTGAGTATCAGATGACATTAAGAAATGATGTTTTTTATTCCTATATTATATGTCTAATATCCAATTATAAGTGAGTATATACCATGTGTCTTTCTGCTTCTGGGATACCTCACTCAGGAAGATCTTTTCTAGTTCCCACCATATAATATAGGATAAATCTGTATACCTAAAAAAGCTAAGCAAGAAGGAGGACCCTGGGTAAGATGATCAATCCTCACTCAGAAAGGGAAACAGTATGGACATCGGAAGAGGAAGAAAACAGGGAACAGGACAGGAGCCTACCATAGAGGGCCTCAGAAAGACTCTTCCCAGCAAGGTATCAAATATCAAAGGTATCAAAAAGATACTGAGAATCATAGCCAAACTTTGGGCAGAGTGCATGAAATCTTATGAAAGAAGGTGGAGATAGAAAGACCTGGAGGGAATAGGAGCTCCACAAAGAGAGCAACAGAACCAAAAAATAGGGCCACAGGGGTCTTTTCTGAGACCGATACTCCAACCAAGGACCATGCATGGAAATAACCTAGAACCCTGCACAGGTGTAGCCCATGGCAGCTCAGTGTCCAAGTGGGTCCCCTAGTAATGGGAACAGGGACTGTCTCTGACATGAACTCAGTGGCTGGCTCTTTGATCACCTCCCCCTGAGCGGGGAGCAGCCTTACCAAGCCTCAGAGGAGGACAATGCAGCCAATCCTGATGAGACCTGATAGGCTATGGTCAGAGGGAAGGGGAGGAGGACCTGGCCTGTCAGTGGACAGGGGGAGAGGCATGGGGGGAGAAGAGAGAAGAAGGGTAAGATTGGGAGGGGCTGAGGGAGGGGCCTATAGCTGGGATAAAGTGAATAAACTGTAATTAATAACTAAAAAAAATGTTTTAGTCAGGCGGTGGTGGCTAGTTGAAATATACTACTAGTATATTTAGTACCCTAGTTGAAAATACTATTTCTTAACTTTTTCTTTTTTTCAGGAAGGTTTCTCTGTGTAACACAGCCCTGGCCATCCTGAACTGGATTTGTATACCAGGCTGGCCTCGAACACACAGAGATCCACCTGTCTCTACCTCTCAGTGCTGGGATTAAAAGCACATACCACACCTGGCCACGTAACACTTTTAACCAACAGCTTGAACCATTGAATAAAGAATCATAGACCCAGGTGGGTGGTGGTGGTGGTGGTCCATGCCTTTAATGCATGCTAGAGAGCTACATTCCCAAACACCCGCCCCCATACCCCAGACTACCCTAGTCTGTTGTTTGTTTGTGTTTTTCTTTCCCAAGATAGGGTTTCTCTGTGTAGCCCTGGCTTTTCTAGAACTTGTTCTGTAGACCAGACTGGTCTTAAACTCCCAGAGATCTGCCTGCCTCTGCTTCCCAAGTGCTGGGATTACAAGTGTGTAGCACCACTGCCTGACTCCTAGTGGTTGACTGTTTGGTAAATCTAAAAGTGTTCCCCAAAAGTTAGTATATGTGGTAGTTTGAATGAATAATGACAATTATAGGCTAATATTTTGAATACTTGATCCCCAGTTGGTGGAGCTATTTTTGAGAAGGATTAGGAAGTACAGCCTTGTAGGAGAAGGTATGTCACTGGGGACAGGTTTCAAAAGACTAGGGCCATTCCCAGTTAGCTTTATTCTCTCTCTGCCTCAGGCTTCTCGGATCAAGATTTAAGCTCTAACCTACTGCTCCAGTACCATGGCCCCTGCACGATGGTCATGGACTCACCCTCTGAACATGTAAGGCCCCAGCAAACTCTTCTGTAAGTTGCATTGATCATGGTGTCTTATTTCAGCAACAGAAAGTGTATAAAGGAAGTTATGTAGAAGTGATGACATTTAAGAATGTATAGGGAAAGGCCCAATTGCTAAATTAGCCAACATTTTAAATAATTTTACTTTTTAATTTAATATTATCTGTGCATAATATCTATGTGTGGGTACAAATTCCACTGCACTCATGTGGATATCAGAGAACAACGTTTTGGAGTCAGTTCTCTCCTTCTACATTTACAAGGTTTTCCCGGACTAAACTCAGCTCGCCAACCTTGTAAGGTGAGGTCTTTTATCTGCTGAACTACTTCACTGGCCTTACCTACTAATTTTAAAAATTCTCTCTTTTACCCTAAGTAATAGTGATATAAATTGTCATCAAAAGAAGCTGAGTGTGATGACAATGACGGTCTCAAATTCTAAGACCAGCACAGGCTACATGGTAAGTTCTAGGCCATATACGATGTGCGTAATCCTGTCTGAAAAGAAAGAAACAAAGAGTGGGAAAGGACTGGAGAGATGGCTCAGAAGTTAAGAATACTGGTTACTTTCCAAAGGACATGGGTTTGATTCCCAGCACCCACACAGCAGTTGGAAACTCTCTGTAACTATAGTTCCATGGAAACTCTCTGTAACTATAGTTCCATGGGATCAACGTTTTCTGCTGGCCTCCATGGTGGGCATTTACCAGACATTCACATGGTGCACAGACATATATGCAGGCAAAAGACCCATATACATAAAATTAAAAAGAGGGAGGGTCTGGAGAGATGAGTCAGTTGTTAAGAATGCTTGCTGCTCTTCCATAGGCCCAGAGTTCTGTTCCTAACACCCAGAATGGGCAGCTCACAACCATGTGTAACTCCAGCTCCAATGGGGGTTCTAACACCCTGTTCTGGCCTCCAGTCACCGCATACAGATACACACAGATGAGACAGAACAGAACAAAACAAAATTTTAACAAGAAAGCAAAAGAAGAGAAAGAATGACAAATGGCTAGGATACTTCTTGCTGTGAACAGCTAGTATCAGCCATCAAACCAGGTTTTGATAAAACTCTCTTACCCGGATCCACACTGCATCACTGAGGAAGCTGAAGGGCAGGGATGGGTTATCTGGTGTGTGCTTGTTTAGAATGCTGAAATTAATGGAATCTTTAGCAAGTCGGGGTGGAGTCCCAGTTTTCAGTCTTCCTACCCGAAACCCCAACTTCTCCAGGGTCTGAGCCAACCCTATGGAGGGCTGATCCCCCAAACGTCCTGCAGGATGTGTCTCCAATCCAATTATGATCACACCTCTCAGAAATGTCCCAGTAGTCAGAACTACACTCTCTGCATAAACTGTACTTCCATCTGCTAAATGATACAAAACAAAACAACAGTAACAACAATAAAAAAAATAGGAAAATAATTTTCTCATTTTTACTACAGAACAAAACAGAATGTGAGCACTTTATTTCAGAATTACCGAGTGGAGCTTGGGGAGATGGCTTATCACACAAAAAGGCCAAGCAAGCTATGAGGAGCAAGGCTGTAAATAAAAACCTCTCTATGGCCTCTGCATCAGCTCCTGCCTCCAGGTTCCTGTCCTGTCTGAGCTGCTGTCTTGGCTTTCCTCAGGGGACTATGATTCAGGAAGGATACTAAGCCAAATAAACGCTTTCCACCCAACCTGCCTTTGGTCATGGTGTTTCATCACAGCAATAGTAACCCTAACTAAGACAAGAACGGAGGGGTAGGTTATATAGTTTAATTGCTAGAGGGTTTAGCTAACATGCAAGCCCTGGTTCGATTCCTAGCACTGTATAAATTAGACATGCTGGCATATGCCTTTAATCCTGGAATGTGAAGCTGGCTATCCTGTGAGCTTGAGGCCAGCTCAGGATATATTTGGGGGAAGATATTTTAAAGGGGGGGGAAAGCGTGACTGAGATGGCTCAGTGGGTAAAGGTGCTTGTTGCCAAGCCTGAATGATCTAATCCCATCCCCGGCATCTAACATGCTAAGAGTAAGGAACCAACCCTCAAAAGCTGTCCTCCAACCTGCATACAGGTACACCTCACCCAGAAAGTGAACAAACACAGAAACAAATTTCTAACAGAAGAACCTGGATAAAAGACACAAATATGCAGGCTCTGGGGTCTACACTAAACCAGTATACTGATGAAGCCAGAATCTGACTGAGATTCATGATGGTCAAAATGAAGAGATAATTTTTTTAAATCTCTTACAATATTATTTACATAATTTGCATTTTCCAGGCAGAGAAAACAAGAATTTTCCGGCACAGGAAAAACATCTCCATATAATTTTCTAAGGAAAATGTCTCACAGAGCGTCATCTCTGGTATTAGCGTTATTAGCCAGTACATACCCAAGACAACACCTCTGACCCTGGACTTGCCAGGGTATCCAGGCTCCGGTTCTGTGAGAACTAGATCTTCTACAGCCCCCTCCTGAACGGTGAGCAGGGGTGTATTCAGGATTTCCTTCTGTCAAAGAGAGAATGCCAGATGAAACCGCAGCTGAAGGCTGCCACGCTCTGTCCTCATCTCTGCTCACCTGCGTGCTCTTTTGCTCACCTGCATGTTCTGTTTATAAAGTTTCCGATCAATTTGTGCTCTCAGTCCCCACACAGCAGGGCCCTTACGCCGGTTCAATACTTTGTAGTGTACACCAGATTGGTCACAGATTCGAGAGCACAGGCCGTCCAATGCATCGACTTCCCTCATCAAATGCCCCTTTCCAATGCCACCAAAGGAAGGATTACATGACATCTGACCTAAAAGGATGCACAGCATCATGGTAAATAAGAGTACCCTTCTACATATTATTTAATAAAGGGTTGTTCCCACAGGTAATTAGAGTCATTTACAAAAACAAAAACAAAAACAAAAACAAAAACAAAAACCTTTCTCCTCTAACTTCAAAGAGAGAGGGAATTACGGTAAGTGACTCTCTGCATGGACACAACCTTCTAAGCCAAAGACATCTTTCTTCCTTGAAGTCAAGGAACAGTTGATGTTGTACCAAATTTCCTTAAAACAACCATTTTGGCCAGGCACGATGGGGTACACCTTTAAACCCAGCACTTAAGAGGCTAAGGCAGATGGATCACTGTGAGTTCCAAGCCAGCTTGGCCTACACAAGTTCCAAACCAGCCAGGAACTGAGACCTTGTCTGAAAATCAACTCCCCCAATCATTTTGTTTCAAATTAGGGCTGTCTTCAGTAAACTCATTTATGAGAATTACTAACAGGGCTCTGACATGTTTTTAAACGTATCTCTACTGCGTTGATAGCATATAAGTTCTGCGCTACTGTGTGTACATCCAAAAGAAGTTCAGTCTTCGTGCCCAAGTGACAAGTGTACTCCTATGTTTAATGAAATACTATTCGCAAGAGCCACCAAGTGATGAATGTGTAAGAAATCGTGCGTGCGCCACCGCGCGCCCCAGCAGCAGGTCTCACGGCTCAAGACGCCCAATGGAAATACAGAACGCTTTAAAGGGCAGCGCCGTTTCTTTTCGAGAGCTTGACAAGCCCTCCGTGAATGCACCGCGCCGCTCCGCCAGACGGGTTGTGAAAATGTTAACCCACCCCTTCTCCGAAGCGAGACTACGGGGACGGTCGCCCCAACGACCACCTAGCAGCCGCGCGTTTTCTGTCCTCCGCTCCCCGCACACCCAGCACTCCCGTCCACCTCAACCACGGCCGTGCTCGGTCGGACGCAGAGCGGCCGGGGCCGCGAGGCTCCTCACCGATCGTGTCTATGCGGTGTGTGAGGAGCAGAGTCCGCGAGCCGCAGCGAGCGGAGGCGGCGGCCGCCTCGGTCCCCGCGTGCCCTCCTCCGATCACTACCACATCGAAGTGCGGGCTGCCGGGCTCCGCGCTGTCGCTGCGGAGGCGAGACAGACGCAAGCGTCTGCCGAGGGACGCCGCGGCCCAGCGGCCACTGTCTCGGAGGAGGAACATGCTGAGGAAAACGCTGAGCCGCCCGGAACGCCTAGGCGCACGGAAGCCGGTAGGGCGCCGCCATCTTGCCCTGCGTCAGAGCGCAGTGCGCCCGCGTCCAGCGTCGCCTTTGATTACGTCGTCTGTAGGGCTGCCCGTGGCCGCGGGGTGGCGCGCGCAGGCCGGCTGTGTACTCTTCTGGTCGGGTGCATTGGGTGCTGGCTGCGGAATCTGACTTGTAGGTTGAGGTTGGGCTTTTCAGATGGGCCACTTGTCACCTATGAAAACAATACACTTGATCAGTTTGCCTTAAGACCTTCTTGATTGACTAAGGCAACCCGTGTTCTGATCCCCATGTTCAAGTCCATCTGGTTCTACATACCAATATCATGTTCTCCAAAACCCAAACCCCATTATTTATATACGTGCAACTTAAAACTTTTTTAGACATTTATTTTATGTGTATGGTTGCTTTGCCTGTGCACGTGTGCTTGCGTGTGTACCATGAGCATGCCTGATGCCGTCAGAAGAGGACATCTGATTCCCTTGGAACCACAAAGGGTTGTGAGCCACCATGTGGGTGCTGGGAACCAAACACAGGTTTTCTGTAAGAGCAAGAGCTCTTGGTCACTGAGCCATCTCTCTTGTCCCTATTTATACACAATTTAAACATTATATGAACTTGACATGGAGAATTAGAGAACGTGGAACTCCCCCCAAATGCTCTATCCCCACTTGACAAGAATGCCCAGCCCTTTGTTGGTAGTAACTGTTTTTATATGTGTGTACAGTTTCCTCTGAATTTAAGTATTCCTCCTGGAGGGAGGAGTCTCATAAAAATGCAGAAGTGAACAAAATTTACAGGTTCAGCCCAACTGAGATTTATAAGCTGCTAGGTCCACCCCACCCCAGGCTATGTAAAAAAGCAGGGACCATTGCTATCGGGAAGATTCCAAGACCATCAGATGTGCAAGTCTGAAGGGAGCTCTAGGGATCCATCTTTTGTGAGCTGGGCTTCCGTACTGGCATGGGCTTTTCTGCGATGTAGTTGTCTTTGAGTCGCCCATGCTCCTGTAAATACTTCAACTCATTGTTTCGCTAAATTAGACTGGAGTGGAATGGTTTTCTTTGGCTTGTTGCTGGTGCCCTTAGGTAAATCTACAATTGCTCTCACCTTGGTGTGTGTGTGTCTGTGTGTGTGTGTGTGTGTGTGTGTGTGTGTGTGTGTGGTATCACATAGCATAGGAATGCTATTATTTTGTACATAGATTGTGTGAGTATACTATCTTTCACTTTACTCCTTTCCACTTCACTGTATATTTAAAAAAAATTTAATTGTGTATATGCATATGGACTTACTCATACTACAGTGCATATATGGAGATAAAAGGTCAACTTGAGGGAGTCAGTTCTCTTCATCCTGGGGTTCTGGGAGTTGAACTTAGGTTACCAGAGACAATGGAAGCAGACACTTTTACCTGCTGAACCATCTGGCCAGTCCCCTTAATAATATATTTGTTTATAGCTGGGATACAATGTGACTAAATTGTAATTCATATAAACATATTAAAAAAGAAAAAGTAATGTATTTGTTTATCTGGGCACAGTGATGCACAGTTGTAATACCAGCGCCCCAGTGGATCTCTGTGAGTTTGAGAGTCAGCATAGACTACAATAATGCAGGGTTATGGACACAGGGATATGTACAAAGACCCTGTCTCAGAAAAAAAAAGTAATTTTTGAAAGTCCTCCTCGTTGTATCCAGTTTTGTTTTGTTTGTTCTTATTGTGGGTGTTTTGATTTAGATAGATAGATAGATAGATAGATAGATAGATAGATAAAGTGAGCACAAGCGTGTATGCCTTGGTGCATACGGGAAGACACAGACAGCTTTTTGGGAGCCAGTGATTTCCTGCCACCTTGTTTTGAATCAGAGTCTCTCTAGCTGTTCTGTGTTCTCCAGGACAGCTGGCTCGAGAACTTCAGGCCAGTTGTCCTGTCTCTGCCTCCATCTTGCAGCAAGAGGGCCAACCTTTTCTGTGGGTTCTGTGGATCAAAACCACGTGTCAGAAGTGCTCAGCCACCTCAATGAGCCATCTCCCTGGCTTTTGTTGTGTTTTTGAGATCGCTAACTTTGCAGCCCAGAGCGAACTGGAACCCACAGCAATTCTTCTGCCTCAGCCTGATGAGTGCTAGCATTTCAGATTTATGCCACTATGCTTGGCTTGGATTTTTTTTCCTTTAAGACAAATTCTTAATATGTAGCTCAAGCTGGCCTTGACTTTTCCATCCTCTCACCTCAGTTACCTAAGTGTGGAAATTAGAGGTATGCAGGCTGTGTCCAGTACAGAAGTAATATTTATGCTTTAACCATGAATAATGAAATGGAGATCCAACCATATAAATTGTTTTGTGATTGGCTCTTTCACAAACAGTGGACATTTTTCAAGGATCATCTGACAGCCTCTGCCTCCTAACTGTAGGAATCAAAGTAGTTTGCCACCAAGTCCCCCCCACCCCTTCCTTCTCTCAAACATGATTTTACCATGTAGCCCAAGTTGGCTTTGAACTAATGATTCTCCTGCACCAGCCTTTGAAGTGTTTATATTTTGGTCGTGGCCTACCGTAGCTGAACTGTATTACTTCTTAACATTTTAAGCCAATAGCTTCAACCTTTGATTAAAAAATCAGACCCAGCCTGGTAGTAGTGGCACATGCCTTTAATCCCAGCACTCAGGAGGCAGACGCAAGTGAATTCCTGAGTTCGAGGCCAGCCTGGACGACAGAGTGAGTTCCAACCCTGTCTCTACCCCAGCCCCTAAAACATGAGCCCTTAGATTCAACTGAAACTCACTGGTGAGAACCTCTCCCACCTACATGTGAGGATTAGCCATTCATCTCTTCATGGTACACAGTATTCATTCCAGTACCCGCCCTTTCCAACCTTTCCCTTTCTGGTTCTCATAGATCCAGAACCAGAATGTTCAGTTGTAACTTAAGGACAGGTTAACTGAGTTTCTATTGTGAAAGTCTGCAAAACTCTTATATGGAAGGTAGCCTGTTACCCTTGTAGCAGGATCCCCAGGATGGGCCTCAGATTTGTTGTTGTTTGTTTGAGACAAGATCTCACTCTCTTAACTAGGCTTATACTTCTGGGCTCAAAGATGCTCTGCCTTAGTCTCCATAGCAGCTGGAACTATGGACATGTGCCATCACAGGTGATGCTAAGAGTTGATTAGCTAGGAATAGTAACATTGGAAGAAAAACCATTACAGTTTGGTTGCAGTGAACTATGCTTCCTTCAAAATCACTGCTCAAATGTCATTCTCTTGGGATGCACATGCCTTATTCTTTACCCTCTTGCAGTGTTTTCTCTTCCTTCCTTCTTTCTTTTTTCCTTCCTTCCTCCTCTTTCTTTCTTTCTTTCTTTCTTTCTTTCTTTCTTTCTTTCTTCCTTTCGTCTTTTCCTTTCTTTTTCTCTTCTCCCTCCTCCTCTTCTTTTCTTAAGACAGAGTTGCTCTGTGTAGTCTTGGCTGTCCTATAACTAGCTATGCAGACCAAGCTGGCGTCAAACTCACTGCCTCTGCCTCCTGAGTTCTGGGACTAACTTGGTAGAGTCCACCACAATGACAAGGCATTCTAAACATAGAGGTCTCGTGTCTAAAGTATATTTCTGCAAAGAAAGCAGTGTTTCTCCTCCCATGCATGTCTGCTTGCCAATATTTGGAAGACAATTTACTTTCCATTTTGGGAACTCGTGGACCGGCATTCACAGGAAGGAGGGAAAAGAGTTGCAGGGGCGCTAGGATGGGATCACAGTGATCAGTGTCTTTTTATCCAAGCTACATGTATCTCCTAGTCTACGACACACAACACGCACACTTTTCCACAAGTTGAGCATCACAGAAATTTGTGAGCTTCATGGACACACCGGATTATAAGGAGTGGAATCACACATTCTGATGTTAGCTGAAGACTAAGTGGTGTTCTGAGCTGTGTAAATCTACAGAGATGAGGTTTTGTTTGTTTGTTTGTTTTTGTCGGGTGAAGGTGGGGAAAGCAGCCACCTTTGACAAGGTCGGCTTCAGAAATCACTTTCTGGAAGTGTGCAGTGAAGTGCTCCAGGATCTCTGCAGCCACATCAGTAGGATGGCTTACACTGTGCTGTTTATGAAAATCACAACACGTACTTAACACAATTTCCTTAAGATTTCATGGGCTTCTTAGAAAGCCAGATGAGTAGAAATACTAATTCCAAACAGCCAATCTACCTTGCAAAGGGTCAGTGTATTTCAATTTCTGATTAACAAGAGCAGCAAATTCTTATCTAAAGCTTACATATAAAGCGTTTTAATCAACTTCAAACGTGCGGAAGACGGCAGTGTCCTCAAATACAGATCAAATCTGGCCTTCTAGGCTGCTGTCAGTGTTTTCCGTGTCTGCGGTTAACGAGGGGTGGGTGGTTTCCCAGCCGGCAGCCCAGCTGCTGTCCAGGGGTGAGAAAGTTCGCGTCTCCCGGACCGCCTCTTCCTGGCGGCGGCCTCACGTGGGCCCCTGCGTCCGCCTGCGGCGGCACGGAGCGGCAGCGTTCCCGCCGAAATTTAAGTTTCGTTTCCAGAGGTGACCTGGGAGTTCCTCTTCCCGGGTCCTTTCGGGGCCTTTCTCGGAAGCCGGGTCTTTTTTTTTTTTCTTTTTTTCCCGGGAGCGGAGAGCCGCAGAGATGGAAGGTTCGCGTAGAAGGACGACGGCGCCGCGCGCTAAGCCGGCTGCGACGCGCCCCCCGAGGGAGGCCGGCGGGACCGCGGCCGCCCTCCCCGACGCGGGGAGCCACGGCCCGCAAAGGGGGGCGCGATCGCGACGTGGGGAGCTCGACGGGGCCCCCGCCGAGACGCCACGCGCCCGGGCGGCCCCCAGAAGGGCGCCCGCGCGCACCCGGGGCGCACAGCCACCGGCCACGGACGGCGCGCGGGCCGCCGAGCGCCCTGCCGTGCCGGAGCCCCAGCCGCCCGCGGACCCCGAGGCGCCGGCCGTCGCCAGGAGACCCAGCAGCAGGAGGGGCGGCCGCTCCACGGCCGGGCAACCCAGAGCGCCGCGGAGGTCCAGGAGGGAGCGGGACAAGCTAATGGACGTGCTGGATGCTTTGAGGTTGAAACGCAAGGAGATCTGTGTGTCGGCCAATACTGTGAACACGGTCGTGACTCGCCTGCTGCACCGACTGGGGAATCGCGAGTCCGAATTCGAAGGCGTGGAGCAGCTGAACACTGGCAGCTACTATGAGCGCGTGAAGGTGAGCGGCCCGGACCTGCTTGCTGGAGGGCTCCTGGCCCACTCCTTACCTGCCTCCTCATGTGTTTGGGGTTTCCCACACCCTTGGGTTCCCCCACGGCCCTTCAGGAACAGCGCATACTCCATGCATCCATCCTTCCTTCCTATTTTCTTTCTTTCTTTCTTTCTTTCTTTCTTTCTTTCTTTCTTTCTTTCTTTCTTTCTTTCTTTCCTTCTTTCTTTCCTCCCTCCCACCTTCCTTCCTCCCTCCCACCTTCCTTCCTTCCCTCCTTCCTTCCTTCCTTCCTCTTTCTTTCTTTCTTTCTTTCTTTCTTTCTTTCTTTCTTTCTTTCCTTCCTTCCTTTCTCTTTCTTTCTTTCTTTCTTTCTTTTCTTTCCTTCTTTCTTTCTTTCTTTCCTCCCTCCCACCTTCCTTCCTCCCTCCCACCTTCCTTCCCTCCTTCCTTCCTTCCTCTTTCTTTCTGTCTTTTTTCTGTCTTCTTTCTTTCTTTCCTTCCTCCCTCCCTCCCTCCCTCCTTCCTTCCTCTTTCTTTCTGTCTTTTTTCTGTCTTCTTTCTTTCTCTCTCTCTCTCTTTCTGTCTCTCTCTCCCTTCCTCCCTTCCTCCCTTTCTTTCTCCCTTCCTCCCTCCCTCCTCTTTCTTTCTTTCCCTTCCTTCCTTCCTTCCTTCCTTCCTTCCTTCCTTCCTTCCTTCCT